TTTATGACTTATGCTTTATGCTACCTTTGAGCATGTATTAAGTTCATGCTCATGAAGCCAGGTATAGCCGTTCACACTGAGCACAGTGCCCACTAGAGGAGGACGGGGCCTCAGGCCACCCTCAGTATCCTGCTGGAGGTCATTTTTACAGCCTTGGCAGTGCTTATCCTGTTCCTCCTTGCACAAAGGACCAGATACCATTCTTGCTGATGCGTTAAAGATCTTCTACAACCCTGACCAGCTCTTCTAGAGTAACTGCATGTCTCCTGGAATCTCCTCCATGCTTTTGACACTGTACTGGGAGACATAGCAAACCTTATGGCAATGACATGTTTATTGATGTGCCATCCTGGAGGAGTTGGACTACCTGTGCAACCTCTGTAGGGTCCAGGTATGGACCCATGCTGCTGGTAGTGAGAAAACAGTCAGCAAAAATATCAGAGGCATCCATGTGTAAAAGCATTTCTGTTTTGAGGATTGTCTCATTTTTGCCCCTCTAGTGCACTTCTTGTTAATTTCAATAACACCAAAGCAGCTGAAACTGCAGCTGAAACAACCCCCTCTGCTACTTACCTGACCAGGTAAGTAGCTTAACTGACCAGATCAGTATCTCACAAGTTTAGCTGACTTAAATCTACAGTCAGCTAAACTTGTGAAAGAATAAAGTTACGTTGAAACCAAGCACACCATTGTTTTTCTTGTGACATTACCAATAAGTTTGATGCGTCACATGGCCCTCTTCCTATTGAAAAAACAAAAGTTGAATCCAAGATAGCCGACTTCTAAATGGCCACCATGGTCACCACCCATCTTGAGGAGTTTGCCCCCTCACATATACTAATGTGCCACAAACAGGACTTTAATATCACCAACCATTCCCATTTTATTACAGTGTATCCATATAAATGGCCCACCCTGTATATTCTGATTTAAGTGTTCCTTTCAATTTTCTTTTTCTTGAGTAGTACACGTGTAGTGTTGTTAATGTTATTTCAGGATAAAAAAAACATTACACTTCACCAAGAAAATTAAAAAAGGAAATGTGCTTCCATTTGTAACATGGTCTCACGAAGCCAAAACATACATGAACACTTTTGATGGAAGTGTTTTGAATGCATCACGTCAGTGTTTATGTAAGCATATGATAGCAATGCGTGTTGTTTCAGTGGACGCGATCATTGCAAGACGTGTGTGAGGTTATGACAACACAGATGCTTTGGAAAAATTATCCACAGTTTCTTGTAGTTTCTGTTTCAGATGTTTGAGAAAATCCGTCACATGCATGAACACCAAACAGTGACACTGGTCATACTGGACAGTTCTATTTGAGAACCATTCATCCAGTAGCCGAAAAATGTTGGACTCCTGACGTCGCCCATTGGTCACATTGCCTTTTACTTTTAGGATTTCTGCTTACCTGATTGAAAACAACATGGATGTGAGGGCTGTAGGCACTGTAAATCAATAAAACATGAGAATTTGTTTGTTTTATATGCATATTTCATGAAGACTATTCCTCCCATGTCTGTACGATTTTGAGCCCTGTTTAATAGAGTGTACTCGTTGGCTTCTCACACACAGTGTATAGTATTAGTGTATAGTGCATCATAAACCGGACGCAAATCCTTTGACAGTGGGCGTGGAGGTTATTTCTTATAATACTTCTTATTCTGCTCATGAATAAGTAAAGAGGAGGCCCTGAGACACACTCACCCACTTACCACACACACGCACCTGCTCCTGGATGGCCCCTGGTTATGCAGAGATGCGCACAGATCCACACCCATTCCCAGAGATTCCCCTCCCACCTCCCTTGTCTTTGTCCTGATTGCAGCCCCAGGGGGTAGACAGTTAGGTGAGATGGCACTGCATGTCTAATCTCTTAGAAATCTATTTGCACTTCAAGGTAATGCTGCACAAAATTGCATTTTTTTAATATCACACTCTTATTTTTCAGAGTCTGTCATTATGCTGTGTGTTTGGCCAGAAGTAATACTTGCCAGTGCTCAGTTTCAGTATTCTTCATATCCCTGGTTTAGGGCTTATTAGAATCTATACATTTTTAGTGTTTTAATTTTTTTTGTTACGAGGCTTCAAATTATTGATGTTTTGTTAAGACTAGACGTGTTTATAGTAGCTATCATGAACATAAACTCTCCCTTTAGGATAAAAAAGAAGGTGGAAAGAGGCACTATTGTGAATAGGAGTTGTTTAATTCTATATGACCCTTTCCAGGGAGGTCAGTGAAAGGTCTGGGGAACCTGTTCAATAATTGAAGGAGTTTTATCTGTAATGTGAAAGCTCTCAGTGTCCATACACCACTTTCCTCAGAGGTGTTGAGTGATGGCTGTGGAAATGGGAAATGATAGGAGTTGTTTTGAATGTTTCCAGTGGTAAGGGATACTGTGGCTGCTGGCGTTTCAATTCCATTAAATGCACTCTGCACAGCGACAGAGTTAAACGCTATGCAAGTAATCTTACACGCTGGTGCTGTGACATTTTCAAGAGGGGGAATAAGAGTCACCTTAAATCTTGCTTCTGTATGTCATGAATTTGCCATTCTTTTCCTGCTTTGTGTGCAGATTGGATATCCCATGTGTTGCTGCTGTTCAGACAGATGAAAGGATGGGGATATAATTCTGGATGATAAGGTGAAGAATTTCTTCAGCTGAACAGAGAACATAAATGGTGAGATCCCATTTTTCTGAAGAAAGTACCATTTTAAAAAGGCTAAAACCAAAAATGTGCTGTCAGACGTTAATAACCTGTCTGCACCCAATGGACCCAAATCAATTTGTTCATACAAATTTCAGTTGGGCAGATATCACTCAAAGATAAATAAATAGTTCATTTGCTGTTCTAGCTTTATATTAATGTATACAGTAATGGTATAAATAGGGGGAATGACACAAAATAATAATACAGAGCCCATTTCTGTCAGTGTGGCAAAGAGGAATATCCTGTTTCAGACATAATACCTGCTAGTGGGTCCGTTTGGTGTTGGCTTTGGTCATGTATTTTCTGCAACTGTCATAAGAAAGGTACAGGATATTACTTGAAGGCATTTAGTTAAACTGTGTGCATGCTTGGAATAATCAGCATTAGTTAGAAAAAATAGCATTTTCTTGCTAGCTTAAATTCTTAAGAGGTTTTCAACACATAATATTTCTGATCTTAAACCTAAGCTCTATAAAACTCTTAACTTGCACTTTCCTTAGCTATATGGAAGCAGCTTTTAGCCTTATTAAATGCTGATGTTCAATCTTAAATATCCGCTAGTGCAAGCCTTTAACCCTTTTTTCCCATCCTCAGACTGTTTGCCATGCTACATGGGAACTCCACCCTGGTCTTACTCTTCATCCTCACCATTTTTGCCACTGTCTATGGTCGTTCCTACCCCTGTTTTTCCCGTAATGACACTGAGTTCCAGCACCTGGTGCTCCACCCCGACCCCTCTGCGGGGACTGTGTACGTGGGGGCCAGGGACCACCTTTTCCAACTGGATGGCTTAGATGGACTGCGGTTGGAGCAAGAAGAGAGGACTGGACCTGTAATCGACAGCAAAGAATGCCTGCCCCCAGTCACCGACACCAATTGTCCCCAAGCCAGAAGAACCAGTAATCACAACAAATTACTGCTGGTGGATCCTAAAGCATTGGAGTTGATCACATGTGGCAGCGTGCACCAGGGCACCTGCCAGAAACGTAGCCTGAGGTCAGTCAGAGAGGTTTTGTTCTCTACCGAGAGGCCTGTGGATACCCAGTATGTTGCAGCCAATGATCCATCAGTGTCAACAGTTGGTTTGGTAGTGCGGCCAAGTGGCGGAGATAGAACTGTGATGTATGTTGGTCGGGGCTATACCGCCAGCCACCCACCTATCTCCACACGCCACCTTTCATTAAAACCCATCTTTTCCTATGAAGAGACAGCTAAGCTAGCTGTGGCTGGGCGTCTTTCGGAGTATGATCATCATTTTGTGACAGCGTTCACACGGGGCACGTACGTGTACTTCTTATTTTACCGCCGTGACATCAAGTCACCATCAAGGGACTACCGGACATATGTCGCCAGAGTGTGCATGGAAGACACTTCCTACTATTCATATGTGGAAATTCCTCTTGTCTGCCTATCACAGTCCCATTCACATAGGAGTTACAATCTGCTCCAGGCAGCCCAGGTATTGAGTCACAACATTATGAACACTTGTGCCTGATATCTTGTTGGTTCTTCACATTGCATCGCAACCATTTTATTTTAACTATTTTATTTATTAGTGATTTATTAGTGATAGAATTGCCACCCCAATATTTTTGGTGGCCCCCATTTATTTCCCTTAAATAACTAGAATCAACATTTAAAATTGTGCTTTGTATTTCCTTCAGTTAACTTTGTCTAATATTAAAATTATTTTGATGATCTGAAACATGTAAGTGTGACAAGTATGCTGAAGAATAAGTGTTCATCAGGGTTACGCTGACCCTTTTTCTGTGCCTTTGTCGGAACAGGTGGGACACGGGCCGGGTCTGCAGGGCGAGGATCTGCTAGGAGTCTTTTCCACCAGCACCAGCCCCACAAACGACGATCCCTCACATGAGTCAGCTCTGTGCATTTTCTCTCTACACGAGCTGGACAGATACATCAACTCAACCCGTGACCTCTGCTACACCAAAGATGGGCGGGGGGAGGGAACAGGAGAGGCCTACATAGAATACGAGGTCAAGTCCAGCTGTGCCAACCTGCCCGTGGTAAGAATACAGGAGTAAATGTTTTGGGGAGCGCTGACCTGCTTTTGATGTCGATCTTTCCCGTGAAAACAAATATTTTTTTTGAGCCTTTGCATGCTCATGTGAACCTTTCAGATTGCTGAGAGAGAACATCCTTAATGCTTTGTGCTAGTTATAGCAGGAAAGCCTCACAGTAGATACATTAAAACTCTCTATCATAAGGACTTATTCCCTGATGTCAACCCATACCTCAGCTATATTGACTAATCTGATGTAAGTGTTCAGCGGAAGCCAAAACAGATACAACCATGTAACGAAGAATGACAGGACTGGTAAGATTAAGTGTAGTAACAAGAAGAAGTAGTGACTACATATAATGGATGGATGAAAGTGAAGTAATGAGGTCCTTGTTGAAAATCCCTAAGGTCTCTAAAGCCCCAGGAGTAGTTCTGCCCAGCTGCAGCCATTCAGAGACCCTTTCCACTGCCCTGCAAACCGCTCAGGTCCTGCCAGCCCACAGAAGCATTTAATGGGATCGTTAGGGATCAATAAACCAAACTACCCTTGAATCATCTGTGCTACTGCTTAATGAGCTCTGACAAGGAAGGACGAGACTTCTTTTGAAAGCCACGGGCATAAGAAAATAGAGAGGGAGAGAGGGGAAGAAACAGAGACGTGAAGAGAAAGCCTGTGGAATATAGTGCAAAAGAGGAGGAAATGAAAGTAAGGAAATAGATGAATGGGGAAGATAAAGTTGTATTAAATCATGAAGTTCCCCTCCTAGCAATGAAACGTTATCATTATTTTCTTAATAAACAAACTGAGCAAACTAAAAAAAGATCTCTCATTCTACCCACTCCTCCTCGTTCTCCTCATCCTCCTCCTCCTCCTCCTCCTCCAGGGCCAATTATCTAGAAGCAGAGCTCGGAGACTTAGTGGAAAAGCGGAATTTGGAGTGGTTGCCTTGCAAAACCAAAGGAAAGGAGAGACTATGTCTCTGAATGAGTCTGCTTTAATCTATGGTGCAATCCTCTTATGATGTATTAAGAGGATTCAGAGGCTCTGAGGCAACAGTGGGAATATAAACTTATTTGCTCTAAGGCTTTAGATGTTTGGCATGACTTAAAACAACAGGGGAAAAATAATAGCTATATTTGAAATGTGATATAAAAATTAAAATGTAGCTTGAAATTGTAGCAATAAAAGTCTCTGTTGTGTTTATTTGAAGATGAACCAGCAAGACAAACTCTCTATCCCGTCACATGTTTTAGAATACCCTGAAGGCATATCCCTGCGGCTCCGACCACACCCCAAGTCCAATGGCAAACAGGGAACCGCTGAAAGCTAAACCCGTATGGCACACCTCATCTGCCCGTCTCACCGCCGTGGCAGTCAGTGTCAGGGATGGACATAGCATCGCATTCCTGGGAGACTCCAAAGGGACCCTTCACAAGGTAGCTCAGACTTTTAGTTTTTGTTTCTGTGTGACCTTGGAGAGCCTCCCCCGGCGTGCAGAGTGGGAGGCAGGGAGAAACCCCTGACTCATGGAAACATTTCTACCAGTTTCTTATTAACCCGGTGGTCTAATTTTTCATTCACCGCGCTCACAGAAGTGTCAGGGCTTAACTGGATCTGTGTCCACGCAGGCCTGCCTTTGTGCTCTAACTTGTCTATGATTCACATCTCAGCAAAACACACCTTACACCACATAAAACACACTGAAACACACAAATCCAATTTCAAAGATATTTAATCCAAGTCCACGCCAGTTCCCATATACTTCTACATCACTGTGTGACTCCGGCCTGGAAGATTCCTATCATTCCAGCATTCACAGTGTTCCAACAAACACAGGCTAGCATACCTTTGTGATCCCACGCTTAACGGGTTTGCTTTTTCTTCTGCACACTGCAACATGTTGGAGACAGGGTCTTATTTTGGGGGGTTTTTGTTGGAAAGTTTCGTCCAGAGTAGATTTCTAATATGGTTCTCATATTTTTATCAAAGTCTAAGTGATGTTTTCAGCTCTTCTGTACAAAACAAAACAAGAAAAGAGAACGCTTCTACCTTCTGAACAACATCTGCATAGATGTGATAGTTACATGAAGGGATCAAGATAAGAGGATTGCAGACACAACCTGTTTTGCTCTGTTTGTGTGTGTGTGTTCTTGTGTCAACTAGAGAGAGTGAGACACAGAGCCAGACTTAGTACTTTTAGGTAGCAGATCAAAGCTGCACTCAACGTAGTCATCTGAAAAAAGCTATTGTAACAGGATTAGCGTATCACAGCAGGACAAATTCCACAGCATCCAGATATGGGACTCCATTTGAGTGCATGTTTGTGTTTCAGAGGAAAGAGGCTGACAACTGGTGACCCACTTTAAATGTAATACTGCAGTAGTATGTTGATGGTCTGTAATTGGTGTAACTGACTTGATTTTTGTGGTTGTAGTCAGCAGGCTTTACCTGCGTTGCTTTGTTGGAATTAAAAGACCATTTCTGCATTTGCCTAACTGCGCATATTTGTTTTCACACCAAGGTTTCAATAAAACAATCGATACTGCTCTTACATTGGTACATTAACTGTGGAGCTAGAGCTGGAGGTTGTTTGGCTTACGCGAGCATTATGGATGGAAGCATAAAATGGAAAACATAACAACGACCATCTTACTGCTTCCTTGTTTAACTGGTACAAAAACCACACTGAACGCTGAACATGTGGGAACTCGAGTGCAGGAAGTACAGTACTTTTCATCAGGTTGTAATTATATTTATTCTGTTTATAAAATTTGCAACTTTGCAAATCTAATCTACGCCGTGCTATCGTGTTCTTTTTAGAGAGAAGAGGCTTTCTCGCAGCAATTCTTCCAAATAAGCCATGTTTGTTCAGTTTTTTAATTATGCTGTTAAGAACTTCAACATTTACCTGTATAGTCTGAGATGAAGCTCTCTGGCTCCTTGCAGTTTGCCTGAGCAATGAACAATCTGACCTTGGGATGAGTTTGCAGTAATGTGGTCTTCAGTGAAGAATGGCAGACGTCTTGAAAGTTCTTTCTGTAGAATGAGGGACTCTAAATTGTCTGTAAATGACCTTATGACCCTTCCCACATTGATGGGAGCAACAATTGCTTCTCTAAGATCATCGTCAATGTCTTTTCTCCTTAGCAGTGTGTTACCCACACACATAAATTCTTCAGACAGGCAAACTGCTGAAACCTCTGCTTTTATAGAGATGCTCACACTTGCTAATGATTCATTAATGTGCATTTGATTAGGAGCACCTGCCTGCTACTTACCCTCTTATTTCCTATAGAAGCAGTAAAGGTGTGCTTAGGTTGTCAAACAACACTTTTTAAAAATAATAATAAAATGTGTTGTTGTCCAAACAGATTGTCTAAGGAGCGTGGAAAAAAGGTCAATGGACTTGTATCAATTTCTTGAAGAGATATCACCTCTCACCTAGAGCTGGGCGATATGAGATTTTTTTCATATCACGATATGTTTTTTTAATTTCAGGCGATAACGATATATATCACGATATAAGCCAAATAACTATATTTGTAAGTAAAATGTGAAATAATCAGCAGCTTGTTTTGATTTAAATATTTATTTCCCATAATAAGTTCAACAGGGTAGATGTACTTAAGAAACATGATACTTTTTCAGATAAATATTGCAAACTACACAAAAGGCATCCGCTAAAGCATTTAAGTTTCAAAATAGAACAAACAAAACAGGCTACTAAATTGTCAATTCCACTTAGAAACAAAATATTAATTCTAAAAATAAATCTTAGTTTGTTTTACAGAAGAACAGACAAAATTGACTAACTTTTGTCAATATCAAATAAACTGAGAACTAAAAGAAAATTCTCAATCTCTCCTTGTTGTATAGCTTAGCTTTTCAAACAGTTTTAACAGTTACTTTAGTCTGACAAAAGCCGAATGACGAATTAGCGGTTTCAGTCAGAGATTGAGCATGCACCGGTTTATTGTATTTCTAGACTTGCTTTCGGCACAATTTACAGTGCGCGCTACTCTGTTTGACTTGAAATAGCCGAAATACCTTCACACTACGGAACTTCTATGGCTCTTCCGTTCGACAATCTCTCCGGCATTGGAACCATCATCTGTTTTCTCTTCGGTAACCTTCAGTCACGCTCTCGGTTGATTTTTCTCTAGTTGGCACACTCATTTCCTCCTTTACCCGGGCGGCATGGCGGCTGGCTGCTTCCCAAACAAATACACATGTGCGGCTTGGCACTTGTGCTGTACGTAACAAGTCACGTGACATGACGCTGCGGCTGTGATTGGTTCGGCTCTGCACTACTTAATTTGGATTGGCTGTTTTGTTTTTGTTTTTTTAAGAGGACAAGAGCGGTGAGGCCTATCGCAATAGTTTAATGTTTCTATCGAGAAAAAGTTATTTCGCAATACATATCGTTATCGTTCTATCGCCCAGCGCTACTCTCACCTAAGGCTTCTTTGGGGTTGTTCATTTAATTTTAAGACTAGATTATTTGTTATTAAGTTATAGATTTGTGAAGAGTGGGTACATTTTTTTCCATGACTGTAGATTCAGAATTTTTTAAATTCTTCTGACAGTTGGTGCTTAATTTGGCTTATAGTCTCTCCTTTCAGACAATGTATAAGGATTGTGTTGCTGAATGAGTAAATAACAGTCTCAGGGTATGAAAACAGAATTAGGACAGGACTCATTGTACAAACTATCTTATAAAGACGATGGGCTAGTGGATGTATAATTCTGAATGAATAATGACATTTTTAAGAAACAGTGTTTGTGATTTCTTTGCTGGCTTGGTTTTTAGAGCCACAAGTGAACATATTTTTGTTGAGGGCTGACTACAGCTGTCTACTGCAATAGACAGACACAGACACCTATTAATTGGTGCTAAAAGACTAGAATTTCACTAAAGTGGAGCCAAAGCATCTTGGAAAGGCTGCATCACACAGAGGGCCGTGATATTTGTCAGATAATTCCATTAATAACGATCCACCACAAACACGGTCAAAAGGTCCAGTTCAGTGAACGAAATAGCTGAGATAAGTGAGTCCCATCAGACAGGTGTTGGCTACACAGCCCTAATTTTAAGTATTAACAAATGGGTGAGTGATTACGAAAAAACATCTCCCTTATTGGTGTCAGAAGGGGGAAAATTAGGTATAGACACTTGAAAGATGGATGTTGGATATTTTAACATGGAGCTCTTTGGAGATTGACTTGCTTTCAGAGACAGCCTTCAGTGTGCATTAGATGCTGCTCTGGGCAATTCAGTATTGGCTTTGTTTTTCAGGCCTGATGATTGCCACTTAATACCTTAAAGAAGCATTAGCGTGGTGGAGATACAAGCCACCTGGACGTCTTGATGATTAACTTCCTTGTTTTGAATAAGCAAGTGGAGCAGTGGTGTTCCTGAATTGGTTTATGTCAGAAGTTTCAAAATAAAAGTCAAAACGGGATGGTGTTGGTCGCTATCCTGGAAGTGGTTTTTTTTTAATCCCAGCAATAGTAAAATGACAAATAATGGAGGAACATTTAATTAAACATTGGTTTACTGTTAAGGAGCGGCAGGCTAGAGTCAGGTTGTTGCTCATACCTAGCTGTTTCCAGAAGATGGCCTGCCATTTTCAGCTTAAAAAAAAGTTTTTATGATGGACACATCTCTTTAATGTTCCAAAGTCACAGAGCATTACAAAGCAGCTTCCCATGCCATTATGTGTTGAGTGCATCCTCTTAATGGGATAACTGATTCTCCATTCTGTCCACAGTGATCTCATTAACATGAAGTAACATGAGAGTTTGAATGCCTGGGAATTGCTTAAGCCAGAGGTGTCTTCCTGTACTTCATATTAGATTTGACTGTGTGATAATCACATTCATGCCCACTTCTGCTGCGCTCCTTTGCAAGTCTGATTTGATTTGTGTTTGAGTTGTAAGCTGAAGAAGGTATTCGTTTTGTCTTTTATTTTTTTTGCCTGTCTCAGTTTAGTCCTGCAGTGAGGGGAATAGATCACGCTCATCCATTCTGTCCTGGAAATTCAAATCGAGTTGGACTGATATTTGCTACGTCATGTATACCACGAATTCTATGTCTTGTGCTTTTCTGCTATAAACGTCCAGGTTTATCTTGGCCGAGATGGCACTGTGGAGGTATACGAGAACACAACGATCCACCCCAACTCTCCCATCAACAGTGATCTTTTGTTGGATCAGAATGGAGGACATATCTACATCATGACCAAAACCACGGTAAGTTTACAATGAATTATAAACACTTTAGGATAGTTTTAGGTTCCCCATATTTTAAGTCCAAATATTCAACAGCTGCAGGGTTTTTTTGTTTTTTTTTGACTGAGTATCCCCATTCAACCACTCAACCAGATGTCTCCATACACGAGACTGAACATGGATTGTAATCCATCGTCAACACTATTTATTGTTTGTCAGAGTTTTTCAGGCTTTGCGTCTTCCTCAAGCTGTTTCTCTCTCACTAATAAAAGAGGATAACAGAATATAAGCCAAAGAGTAAAAGAAAACACTGAGGCCAGCTGGCTGTTGAGGTCAAAGGTCACTAACCCCACTGTGAGTTGTACAACAGTCTGCAGGAGGTGTAAAGTCGCTTTTAACAATGGTATTGATCAGAGAAAGTGGCCTCCATTGTGTTGGCACACTCCCTACAGAGTGTGTGTGGGTAGCTATAGATGCTGATAAATGGACTTGGGGAAACTGCAAGTCTATACACAAAATTGATTCTGTCAGTCCGACACCACGGAGCACCTGGATGTAGCGCAGAAGAAGTTACATTTACTTTGCAAGCTCCTTTGACTACAATGACCTGGATGACTGAGAACCTTCACAGACTTACATTTAGCATACACATCAGAGGCAGG